TATCTAAAAAATTTACCTCCACATTTTTTCCCTTTTCTTTCAATGACACTTGATAGAGATCCACTAAGTGTTTTGCTGTACGACAGATATGTGCCCAATGCTCAGTCATACCGCATCGGAAAAATTTATTTTCAACACTTCTAGAACTCTGATCTTTTGGAGTTTTTCCTTTGTGATCATCATTTCCTGTGGTTCTTTCGAAACGTGGATGATTAAAACAGCCACCACGAAAATAATAATTATTTCTTCCTTTATCGCAATCAGACCATCGACCTTGACCACGATTATTAAAATTCACAGCATTTGTTACAAGGAATAGTGTTATTCCTGTTGGTCAAGATTCATGGTTTTTCATCAATAATTCGATATTTTGTTCTGCAACAAGAAGACATAATATGAGTTCAGAGTATTCCTTAAAACATTTCTCTTGATATTGTTTTTGCAAGAGCATATTAGAGACATGAAAGGTAAAAGATGTTTTCTCTAGCATATCTCCATCAGTAATTTTTTCTCTGCATAACTTCAATTTCGAACTGATTTCGCAGAATTATAATCACTTACTAATTTGAAATCTTAGAGCCTCAAATGCATCCATTCGTAATGAGCTTGATGAAGAATAACTATTTTCTGATGATCATATCTCTCTTTCAAATTTTGTCGTAAAACACGAACATCTTTTATTGGTAGATATTCCATTTTCAATTCTTCGTGGAGATGGTGATGAAGGAAAATCATGGTCTTTGCCTTATCTTGACTTGTAGTCGGATTTTCTTCTTTGATGGTCTTTCCTAGGTTCATGGCATCGAGATGAATCTCAGCATCGAGTACCCATGACAAATAATTATTGTCATTGATTTCAAGGGCGGCAAACTCTAATTTGGTGAGATTAGTCATAGTGACACTATTACAAACAAATGTATGTATCTTAATAATATAATATATGTAAATATGAAAAATAAAATATAGCTTACCTGATCATAACAAAAGAAAATAAATAACCTACCTTTAAGACCTACCTTTAGGCGTATAAAACAACTTAGACTCGTGCTGATAACATGTTGTAAAATTTGGGGCAAAATTAGGCACTGTTGAAATTAAAAACATAGCAAGATGTTAAATGAAAGAGAAAAAGAGAAATATTATAGAATTAGATATGTTCCTTTTTTTTCGTCATTTACCTATAATAAAATTGATGTATTTATAGACTATAAGGGCTTGGGGAAGCAAGCAACACTTATATGGGATATTGTATAGGTGTCATGAATTTGATGAATATGGGTGTATTCTTTGGTGAATAAGCAAAGATGATGGTCTTTGAGAATGGGCGTCTAATTCAACAAATAGGTTTCATAATAGTTAGGATAATTATTTTTTGTTTCTTTTAATGTATTCATAGTTTGCTTTGTAATGCCTTTCTTGTTCTTGAGTAAATAATAATGTAAATTTTGGAGTTTTAAAACGTTGAAATTTAAGTAACATGATTCAAACCTTCAAAATATAGAATGCCAAAATTCAATTTCATTAAAATCAAACTTAGTAACATAAAAAAAATTAAAAAAAAAAACATAGAAAGATGGAAGGTGTTATGGGTAGCTTCCGAATAGGACACGTGTTCGCCCCTCCACGGGCGCGGGCGCACTGGGAACCGATTCTCAGTAAGGATGGCGCCGAGCAGAAGGCTTGTATGCTCACGACGGGACGAACACTACAAACGGTTACGCCCCGTACATACCCACAGCTGGCGGCGCGTGCTGTCGGCATGATGGGTGCATCCAACGGCCCTAGACGACATGCTCAGGCGATGCAGGCAGCGGGGCTACTCTGCACTGTTGGGGATGCACCCCTCTTTGTGCTTCCATACTCCACGCGACACCCCTACCACTTCCAACTGTTGTCCTTCTTGGTCGACCATGCAGGGCTATAAAATGAAGGGCAATCCTCCACACCAAGTAAGTGAAAAACCTGTCACTGAAATCTCTGGTGTCTTATTTCTATTTTTACTCTGATTACTAACTTGAGCGACGTCGAGTTCTTTATCAAGGGAAATATAATATTGTTATGGATGAATAAAGAGAATAATTTTTTTTTATCAAGGGAAATATAATATTGTTATTTGTTGGGTGTGAAAAGTCGTACGAGATAGTTTTAGAAAATGCAAAAAGAGAGAAAAATATTATAACGGAGTTAAATAGTAAATATTATTATTATTTTTTTTTTTTTTACAACATGGGTTTAGATTTACGAATTATGAGATTGGTAAAACTCAGCTCCAAACATGGGGTGGTGGGTTATCAAAGCCAAGCCCACTCGAGAAATTCATGGGCCAAATATCATCTATAAAATTTTCTTACGAAGTATGTGAGTGACGGTAAAATATCTTGAAGTATTCATGTCGGTAATTTGTAAAGGCAACTTGCATTCTTTAAAGCAACTAAAGACAATAGATGGCAAGTTTAAGTGACAAAGAATATGGAAGAGAATGTAAAGACTGTCAACTATGTCTTAATAGTCTTAATAGTTATCTCCCCTAATAAACAATGATTACCAAGGGGTCTTAATAGTCTCATGATACTTCATTTTTCATCAAAAATGACCAAATCATACTGATGTGGTCATAATGAACTAAGAGCTCCAAGAACTAACCTACATCAACAAAGAAGAAAAGTTAGAGGAAAGACCTCTAAAAGGAGGAACTTTCATTTATCTCACCAACAAATTTTGTCCATTCTGAAGCTCCATGAACAATCATCGAGGGTCAAAAAGAGGAGGAAAATTGAGAAGCCAAGTGAATGGTCATACCTCAAGGACTTGCCTACCGCAAGCCTTTGGACACACCCCATGCGCAGCACACGCCATGTGCACTCCCCATCACCGCACACACTGTACGTGCCCTGTGTCACAACCATACTAGTAGAGAGTAGGTTGTGACGCCCACGTA